ATATATATTTATATATATCCAAAATTCTATATATATCAAGAATATATGGTTGTTCTCGAAAATAATAATTTTATAATTTATATAATGTTACAGTCATTTTCGGAAACAGACATATATGTTTTTGTTGATACATAAATATAAATATAATTATTATTATTAACAACGTAGTGATATCTATAAAAATGGAGCTTCTAAATAAATGAAGATTATTTATTATGTAATTATTATTTTATCATGCAATTATAATCATAAATACATTAAAAATTTTTCTCGCAATAAAACTCTAATATAGTTCTGTATCTGTACCGTTCTCAAGTTTATCCACTATATTTATTAACAACAATTGAGTGCAGCGAAACTTCTCATGAAATATCGGACGTGCTATCGAATTTCGAAGTCTACTGTCGCGAATGTTACGGTGAATTTTCGTATGAAAATTTGAGCACGCGCGTGCATTGAGACGAGTTGAAGTAGAACGAATAAAATTGGAACATACAGCGTGTTGCGAGTCTGTTGTTGGCCTGACTCGGCGGTGGGATCGCGGCCTGCGGCGGTGGCTGTGAGCTCAGATCCTCGAAGTTTATGATTTGCAGGCAAATGTCGTCCACTTCGCTCTTTATTAGCGCTATCACCTCGCTGCAAAGGAACTTGGTTCCTAAAACAGGAAATTAGCAAGTCAGACATCCCTGTCCGAAATACCAACCGTCTGACATGCGTCTTTGAGCTCTCATCATGAATTCGTATATGTCATGTGTGTGTATATATACGAATGAATGTAATGATCCGTTGTGCAAAATTTAATTTACTCATAAAATAATCCATAAATACAAGGATCTCAGCATTTAAAGATTTTAAACACTCAACCCTTAAAATTTTTTAAATATAAAAATTAACATATTCAAGAGATAATATTTTAATTCTTCAGAGCTAACGTAGAGTATATATTGAACCCACTCAATTACATCCCTCCAAAGTTGATGAGTCTATTAAATAGTGAGTCTATTAAACCCGCTGTACAATGATTGTTTGAATAACAAACTGTTCTGAATAAAAATCATGAATAAATCAGCAAAAATGTTAAGATAAAAAATACATTATTATATTTCAATTCACTATTAATTCTTAATTCTTTTATTTATTATTGTCATTTTATACAACAATTGCCACTTTACACAAAAATATCAAACAATTCAATTTTTTTTACATTACTTCTGCAAAAGTTTGGATTATTTTTATTAAAATACTTAAAGAAACACTTAAAGAAAGGCTTAAAAGCCTTCGAAATTCAATAAAACATGATAGGATTATAGTCTGATAAACATAATCATGTACCTCTATTTATGGGCGTAGATGGTCAACCGCGCGCGCGCGTGCGTTTCTGAAATATTTCAATATTAAATTTAATAGCGGCAATTCATTAAAATTTATATTTGAGTTCATCTTAAAAAAATTTATGTTTTATGTTTTTATCAAAACTTTTACCTTAAAATTTGTAAAAGTAGCAATCCATAATAAAAATCTGTAAATTAATCTGTTAATTAATAATTAATGTTTTATAGTAACATTTATTTCTATCATAAAACATTATTATATAAAGAAACAAATTAACTGTTAATGAGATTTAAACTCGAATCTGTAAATAAAAAAACTATTATCATATTCATATACATTTCTTCAAATATCTGCTCTATAAACCCTTTAATAAACGTTCAGGAAAATACTATATCCTTATCACATTTTATTGAAATCGATGAGGATTAGATGATTCTGAGTTTTCTCTTCTTAGTACTCATCCTTTTTTATACAAATTATGCCGTTTATTAAAAGATAGAAAGAATTTTTACAAGAATCTGTATTTGGCTTATAAACGCTCTTTTAATATACTTTTGACGTAGTTCAAAAAAGCTAGCATTATATTTTATTATATCATTTAGATTTCTTGAAATTAATTAGTATCTTTTGAGAATGGGAGCTTTCTAACAAAAAAAAAATCATAAAAAAGACCTCGTTTTTTAAACTGTATAGTTTTTGTTAAACTTAATTCTGGATCAAAATCCTAAATTTCAAAAAAGTAATCTGATTATCGTGAAATTCAGTTTTAGGTTTTTACATTGCTGAGTTTGAATGTGAGTCCTCAGATCCCGCATCCATTTGACGCAACGCAATTAGAAGGCGGTCATTTTTATCTATCCAGCAGAGACAGCGCTCTCCTTGTATGTATTACTATCAATAGTTTTTTTTTCTTCTTGGATTATCAATCTATTTTTTTGTGCTCATGTTCATTTATTCAATTTTTGTTCATTGATTTTGTTGTTCGTTACTTTTTATACACTCTCTGTGTGAAATACAAATTTTCCCATCATTGCATGTAATACAATAAAAATTAAACATTTATTATTTCCATAAAAACATCTGTGTGCTTTTTAGATTACATCAATAGGTTATGGATCCACGCTTCCATTGCGTTACAAGATAACATGTCCGTTTGTTGTAATGATAAGGAAGGTCAAAAATTTTGGATCACCGAAATTTGCAAAAGTGCAGAAGGTGCAAAGGGACAATGCTAAAAATGACCGATAAAGATCTCGTTCATATTGAAGTCTTGTCTAAAGACAACTTCGTTGGCAGTTTCTGTTTGAAAAACGAGAGATTATAGACGTCGTGGAAGAAATAATAGAAGAACTCACAGACAGGACCAGGATGTACAGAAATAGTGGAAAAAGAAGAAATCTGAAGCTAAGTATTGCATTTCGGCAAAATTAGATGATAGATTAATTAAACATGTATGTGCAAAAATTCTAAGGACATATACTTTGTGATCTATTTAAGAAAAGGTTCGCAGCTTGATGCTACAAAAGAGAATTTTAAATTTTAAACTTAAATTTTAAAGAGGCGTAAAAGTCTGATTATGTTACAGAAGCGAAAAATTTGGCTCATCAATTACGAGTAGCCGGCGAGGTAGTATCAGATAAGATTACAAATGATAATTATCAATGGACTGCCATTGTCAAAAATTTGTATTGTCATGGAATGGAAGAGAGAATACTATCTTGATCAAAAAGTTCCCGGAATTCATTCAGAAAATTCAAAATACAGTTTTATTCATCAAAAGTGAAAGTATTGTCCCTTTCAAAGTATTCCCCATCGACACTGCAACGCACTTATGCCAGCGCTTGATCCAACTCTCGAAACATTTCTGGAACTCTATTGTCGGTATAGCCATCAGAGCCGTCTTTGATTTTTCCATTACTTCTTTTCGGCTGTTAAAACACATTTCCCGTAATGGTTTCTTGACTCGAACAGAAAAAAATGGGGGAGCCATATCAGGTGAATTCGATGTTGGATGGTATTCGTTTCGTTCTTACTTAAAAATTCACTCGTTGTTGCAAATTCAACTCCATTTTTAAAACTGATTCGATTAAAAAATCGAAAATACGTGCAGAGATAGATGTACTCAAGACGGCGTAACTTTTAAATGTCAAGCTATGGTGATAAAATTTGGTGGGAATGTCAATGATAGATGTGACAACCTAACCAAAAAAACAGAACTCAAATCAGCTGATTCAGAGCATCACCTGGTGATAATTCCGGGAACTTTTTGATCAAGGTACGCGTCAATCTCTACAGAAGAAGAATTAATTTCTATTGAAAAAAATTATGAAGATAGAAAATGAAGAAGTCGAAGCCTTGATAGTTGCTACGAAAAAATCATAAGAAGACAACCAAGAAAGGAACAGAGAAAAATATAACATATTAACAATAACATATAACAATATAACAGTAGCATTTAGCAGTAAGTGCTATTTTTGCAAGAAACTTGATCATAAGAAAGAAAATTGCAAGAAATTTGAGTTAAAGAGATATTCAGAGCACTCTAGTGACAAAAATGATAAAGACAACAAGATTTCAACGAAATCTGCGCAATCGATCTAACTTGAAGCAACCAAATCGATGGAAAGGCGATATCCACAAGCGAACCTATAATTAAACTAGATGTGAATCCTTGCTGAAGAGATTGCTGCACATCAGAAACATAGTATTTGGGTAGTGCAAGGAAAGCTTATAGATAAGAAGCCAATGAGTTGCAAGTGGATCTTAAAAAGAAGGTGATGCTTGGAGAATCATACAGATATAAAGCTAAGTTTTAGTAGATCGTGATTTCTGTCAAAAATATATTGACTATTTGGTATTGACTATCTGGATACGTACGCATCGATTGTTTGCTACGATAACATTCGAATTCTATTAGTAATGACAATTGCAAAAGAAATGGAGATACTGCAATTCGTAAAGACTGCATTCCGGTATGGTGAATTAAAAGAAAAAAATCTGAATGGAATTATCTGAGGAACCATGGCAAAAGAACGTCGTCAAGTTACAGAAATCCTTATATAGATTAAAATAGAATCCTCATTGCTGGAACGAATGGTTAAATAATGTACTGACTGAATTCAACTTATAAAAGTCAGATGCAGATGATTGTATTTATGTTGATTCATATAGTGTGGATAAAATATATTTAGCGCTGTATGTCGATGACGACTAGTTTTCTATAAGTCCAAGAATACATTAAGAATATTTCTTGATCAAATTGGTAAAATATTCGACATTAAGATAAGCGAACCAAAGTGTTTCATTGGAATGGAAATTGAACGAGATCACGATAAAAGTTGATTAAAGATTTATCAAGCAAGTTATACACAACAGCTAATTGAACGATTTAATATGAAAGAAGATAAAGGCATGGTTACCTGTTGATTCATACACTCGTCTGTCGAAAGAAATGAATCCAAATATTCAGGTTGAAAAAGAAGAAATGGATAGAATTCCATGTGCATCATTAATAGGATCGCTACTGTTTGCAGCTAACGTAACGCGTTTTGACATTACTTTTGGAATAAATGTACTAAGTCGATATCTTCAAAATCAAGAATTTCAACATTGGAGAGTGGCTAAGAGGATCTTAAGATATTTAAAGAAAACAGTAGCAGAAGGTATAATTTACAGTAAACAAATGGATAGCAAGAAATTATAGTGATGCAGACTTCACCAGAGACGAAGACGAGAGACGGAGTGGATTCAACTAGTGAATATATCGTAATTCTACAAGGTGGATCAATAAGTTGATCATCAAGATTACAAAAGACAATCTCTCTCTGTCAACAGCAGAGACAGAACTTGTGACACCTATCAAAGCATAAAAACTAATGTGGCTACATAAATTATTGGCAAATTTGCAATGTATAGAAAAAGAAATAAAGCCAATATTATTAAATTGTAATAATCAAGCATTTCCTTAACAAAAAATCCTGGTTATCACCAACGTACAAAACACATTGACAAGGATTATTGATTTGTACGAAAGGCTGCAGAAACTGAGAAAGTGGATACAGTATTGTATAATTGAAATACAATTGGCGGATATATTGATTAAAAGACTAACCAAAACTCGGTTCCGGAAAACTGAAACAACTGTCACTGATTTATGAGAAACTCATGAGTGGGAGTGTTATAAAGTGAGTCCTCAGGTCCTGCATCCATTTGATGCAACATAATTGGAAGATGGCCATTTTTATCTATCCAGCAGAGACATTACTCTTCTTATATACTACTATCAATAGTTTTTTCCTTCTTGGGTTATCAACCTTTTTTTTG